TATACTTGTATTTCTTATGTACTTTATACATTTCTTTTACACATAATTTGTATATATAATATGTCTATGCTTGTACACACACTTGTAAGCACACGCAAGGCAAAAGTCTCGTCGTCATTCATGCACCGGCTCGTGAGAGATTGAATCGCCGATTGCGAAACGCTTCTTCGAAACAGAAACCTCGAGTACGAGAGAAGGGAGGGGGAGAGCCGATCCGTGCCGGACGTTTTTATCGTCTGGTGTCGAATTGCAAAAACTGATTCACCCGCGAATAGTAGCGTAACGTGTGGGCTCGTGTTACGAGATTGCCTGGGAGATGGTGTCAATGGAGAGAAAGGATAGTAGATACTTTCTGCATACCAGGTCAACGAAAGAAACCGATACGACGTTTTGCCCAATGGTGGTGTGGTGGTGGTGTGTTGTGTGTGTGCTATATTAGCCTACGTTGGTTCAGAAATTTGGACCATTCTAAATTTTAATCCTTACGCATGGCGCGTTGCGAAGTAAAAGCGTGTTCAGTTATTGTAATCTGCAGCTGCATGTAAAATCGAATGTTTGGATATTAATTTCACGTTTAATTAACTATTATAAATTACTTATTTAGTACGTACGTAATTGATCAACAATTTGTGTAATCAGCCGAAGGTAGGATTCAATTAACTCGGAAATTAGTATGATTCGATGCGTGCTCTTGGTATTACGAGAAATAATTGATTTTCGTTATGCGTTCGTTGAAAGTAAATAAATAAAATAGTAAATATGAGATTGTACGTAAGATCAATCGTAAGAACATTGGTCTTGCATGTCACGCAAGATAGACTACTTAAATCCTTCAAAGTGTCGAAAATTACGCGCGTGTAATTCTCAATCACACGGTTAAGTCACCGTGTCAAATTGCCGGTATTGTTCGAGCAATCCGCCGCGCGTACGTGTGCGCGCAAACGTTGTGTGGAATTTTTCTCCAACTGATCCTTCACCCGCAGAATCTACGTGTCCGCGGTGACGGACGGGGATCAAGATAATTGCTTGATTACAATTTCAAATGGCCGTGTCTAATCG